ACCAATGTGTCTTTGGCTTTGGCCGTCAGCGCTCGTGGCCAGTCTATACCGCCATTTTTCCTCTTTCCCCGAGTCAACATGAAAGAGATTTTTATGACTCATGCGAGTCATGGAGCTGTTGGTGTTGCGAACGGTTTTGGTTACATGAACTCTGACGTATTCCCTCATTCATGCGTCATTTCATCAAGCACAACGGTGCTAATGCCGATTCGCCAACCATGTTGCTGCTGGACAACCACGGTTCGCATTTATCGATCGAGGCGATAGATTTKKCGTTGGATCATGGCATCACGTTGCTGTCTTTTCCGCCGAAATGAACGCACAAAATGCAGCCGCTATATGTTGCGGTATTTGCACCATTTAAAGGCATGATGACCGTGAAGCATGATGCATGGAAAAAGTCCAACATTGGTGTCACTTTCGATCTACATCATGTGCCGCTCCTTGTCGAKCAGTGCCTCGATGTTATGTTAACGCCGAAAACCATCAAATCCGGCTTCCGAACAACTGGCATCTACCCGTTCAACCCTCAAATTTTCACTGAAGTTGACTTTGTCGCTTCGGAACTGAGCGGCGAAAATTTGTTCGGTGACGAAGAGAAAGACGCCGACAATTAACGTCGAGTTCTTGCCTCYGGTRATGCCATTGTGACTGCTGCAAATGAGGAGGTGTCATCGACAAGTGCCCCTGCTTCAACAAGTGGTGCAGCATCATTGTCGTTGTCTCTTGTTTCGGCTCCACAGCTCCGTGATGCATTGAAATCGGTTGGCCCGTTGAAATTGGGCACACCTGCGCCGAAATCAAAACGTGGCCGCAAGACAATGGAGTCAACGATTTTGACATCGCCTGAGGTTGTCGCAGATCTGCGTGACAAGGCCGAAAAAAAGCGGCAAAAATTGACGGAGGCAGCCGATGAACCAGCAGCCAAGAAGCAAAAAGGTCGTGGCAAATCGAAGACGCCACGGAAGAGAAGCCCGTCTCCGACCGAAACCGACATCGAAGAAGACTTCGATATTTGCATGATTTGCTTGACTGGAGACTAGCTGGTGCATCTTGTATCGCCGTTAACATTGTAGCAAACGGATCGCCTAGCAACTGTTGATATGGTTGATAGATTTGTTGTTGGGGCGTTGTTGGAAGATGTGGTGATAATTGTGGGTGATGTCTTGGCGACTGCTGTTGCAGCGTAGTCTGTTGATGGGGCGATTGTTGCTGCTGTTGTATAAATACAAAATGTGTTTTATTTTTACTACAAAAGGGGTTTTGTATTTGTTGTTTAGTTATTGCAGAATTTTGTCCGTTGACTTTGCCATTTATTTTCGTTTCTTCGGAGGGAAAACTCCAACCCAACACTGTACGTTGTGTAACGAAGGATCCGAAGGTTTTCGATTTGACCCCATTTAGTGTGATTTTTGGGTAAAGAGCCGCACCGCTCAACAAGTCAACATTTTGACTCGTAAAGAAATTATTATCCGTCAAGGGGATATTGGGTAACCTTTTTACCATTGAAGAGTTAATTGATCTGGATGGAAGCAGTCCAGTCAATTTTGGCAATACTAACGCTTCCGCTCTAGTTTTAAAATTTTGTTACGGGGCGAGCCAAATGTGATCGAGCATACCGATTGAACTCGTCCTGGCACGGTATTATTCAATCCGGAAACTCGCTCGCTGACCTTTCTGTTTGACAGTTTTAAGCGTTTCTGCAGACTATTGCTTACGAAGGTGGCTTCAGATCCCGAATCTCTCTCTCTCCTTGTGACATATGGTCACCGTGGATGTACCTAAGAGCATACTTCGACTGGTATGCATATTTGAAACATTGGCGTTAATAGAGGCCACATGAGATTTAGCAGAAATCTTAGTAGTGTCTGCGTTGTCGGATATCTGACCTACTTCCTCAGTCTGATCCCGGTGAATCATGGAGTGATGTCTCTGTTTACATTTATTATAATCAAACATACTTTAACAATTTTTGACTTCATGTGAGTCTGATAAACAGTTAAGGCAGACGTGGAGCTTTCTGACAGCATTTATTCGTGCGTTTGGCTGCATCTTAATGAATTTTGACAAGTTTTTAAGATGTGTGATTGAGATTAGCACAGTTTACATTTAATGTTCTTTCTCTAGGCGTGATGGGAATTGATGGGTTTGGATCCAATCCTTGACTGCAAGGTTGGTATCCGACCTTCACCATCATCCGACTTAATCTTGGGTTGAGTACTCAACTCGCCTTTGAGGTTTGATACTCTCTCTAGCGTTTTAACCCGTTTGGTTAGAAATTTGTCTAACTCAATCCATTTTGGAATCTCTGAATTCGAATCCAGAGATTGTTCCCAAAGCGACAGTATATAGTCCGGTAGTCGCATAGAACACAAATACGTAAATATCTATATTGATTCCATGTATTTGTAAAGCTGAAATGCTGCTATTTATCTCCCGCTGTAAATTTCTGAGTTCGGTCTCAGATTCTGTTGAAATGTGCGGAGCTTGAACAATAAATGTAATTGTGTATTGACAAACACTCGCTTGTTTTCATACCTACACAACAAATTTTTCCAAGCCAATGCGAATCCGTCATTCGTCAGAGGCACTTTCGAAACGATAGCTTCGCCTCACCCCGTGTTTTTTGATTCACATGGAGTACCTTCTGCACTGTATATAGCCTTGGGTTATTCCCATAAATTGCGGCAAATAAATCCCTAAATGAGGGCCATTTTAAAACAGCGCCATGAAATATTTCGGTATCACATGGCGGTAATTTGATGGAGTACCTCACGGGTTCTACAGTTAGTTGTAACCGTTCAGGTTGAATCACTGTTGAATTCGAAGTAGGGCTTTGGTTGAAAACCGTGAGGTTGTGCATGTGGTCGCCCATCAAGGCCGCATTAGGTAACAGCTTGAATATCTCAGCTCAATGTCATCAATTGACCTTGTGTCTGAAGGATCCCCTTTGTCAAACACAACTTGTATTCTGACTTTACCTCTGCCCACAGAGATTTCAGTTCAGGTTGTTGTACTTCAAGAGAGTAGGCACTTTGGTTGTTTGCTGCTGGAGTAAAAGACTCCTCAAACTAAAGTAGAGCGTCTGCAGTTGTGATAAATGCTCTGATGGATTCCATTGTGTTCGAAAATTGAAAGGAATTGAAAAAGTCGGATTTAAACTTTGAAATTAAAACATAAAAAATATGTCGCAAACATTTCAAATGTTATAGAACCAATCACGGACCACCTACAAATTAGTAGTGCGTTGTTTCTTAGTGAAGCACGAGTTTTAAAAGGCACAAAAAAAAAAAATAAATTTAGTAAACTATTTTCTCAAAGTGTTCTTTCCAAATTTAATATGAATGTACTTGCTGGGTAATCGGCCCACTGCTCTTGCAAGTCTAGTCTTCGCTATGTACACAAACAAAATTGATGTGTGCTTAATTGCTTTATTTAAATGCAAATAAAAATACAAATAAAAATTCAAAAGCACTTATTTGATTTATCAACTAATCACTTTCACTTTGTTCACGGGGTTATTTTTGAATTTAACACTACACTATCTGTTTGTTGCTGTCCCTCTGGGAAGGCTGCTGCTCCGCTTGTACTTGCTGCTTTGCCTTTGCTCTTCTCCCTTTGCTGCTTGGCCTGTGCTGCTTTGCCTGTGCTGCTCTCACTTTGCTGCTTGCCTTAACTGTTTGGCTTTCTTCCCGTAGCTTACTTCACTTTTCTAATTTTGTATTTAATTTTATTTTTTTTTTGTTTGCTCTCGCGAAACTGCAGCTGCGTWATTGCTGCTTGCCTTTATTGCTATTCGAGCAATATATGGAAAGGCAGAGTTGAGCGACTAGACTCAAATTAACCACAAGAATAAAGAAAAACCCGTGAGAGATTGTTGACGCTCCAGACGATGTTTGTGCGTCCACGAAATTTATAATTTTTTTCGAGTAACAGAGTGTGTGTGGTTATTTGCAAAGTGAAATAATCCGTGCATTTGCCAGGTGTGTTTGTTGTTGTACTTAAATGAAGTACTTGCAGTCTTGTGCGTGGATTTTGTGGGTAGAGTGCCAAAAATAAGTTTTGGTCTCCACTTCACACAGCACAATGAATTTTGTACAGAACTTATGCACAATTAACCAATCTATTGCCTTATAGCTTGCAGAGCACAAGTCCAAAATATGTTTGGCTGTAACTCACGTGTTGCTAAATCGGCAAATTAATGCACTTTCACTTTAAATAAAAATCAACTTGTTACCTGTTATCCGGCTTTGAAGGACCAATGATAATTCGGTGATGGAGCACGGTGTGGCTCGTTTCGTAGTTGTGGTTGGCCGTAAGGAAACGGACGGCGCAAATGATTCCACAAAATATTAAATAAAAAACAAAAGGTTTCTTATAATACCTGTAATTTTAATGTAATGTAACAAATTGGACAAACACTTACTACGTCTGTATCGCTAAGCGGTCGCTAAAGGAGAAAGCGCGCAACTTTTTTGTTAGTGTTTAGTTGCGTTCGCATTAAAACTTCGAAAAAGAGATCTGTCTGATGATACAGACGTGTCAAAAGAAATTGGGCGGGTTCGGGGGCAGCGTCAACACTGTCTGTGAAATGTAAACAAATATAGGCAAATTTAACACTAGGGATATATTTTATACATAACAACTCACTACGTAAAAAATATCTGATTTATAGTGAATCAATGTTTTAATTTTTACTACATCAACATATACTACTGAAAATCCAAAATGGACCTTTCAGAAAGCTACTACGAAAAGGTTTTCCACTGCGCTTCGCATTTGGCGTTACATTTCCGAGAAATCTTACATACTAAAACAATGACGGCCGCGACTTGATACCGTTCATATTAGTTCTATAATTCATTCTTCTTTAATGAACTATTCGAACTTCGAATAATGCATACATTTCATGTTTCTTTCCCCTTTGTAAACTTTATAAACTCAGTCTTTGGATGTAACGCGGTGAAAATATTTATGAACACAAGAGACCAATTTAACCCTGCTTTCATAAAGTACGTCTGAGAGGCGCACGACCTCTTTACATTTTGCTCTCCCTCTTACAATTTTTTTCACAACGCATGCCATTATTAAAATTTAGTACATTTAAGTATAAATAAAAGCAAAATGAAAAAGATGGAATATTAGACGATGCGCTAATAGCTGCTTATCTAACAAATGAAGATGAATACAGTTCAACAGAAAATGAAAGTGAAATAGAAGATGCTGTATTGGATGATGATATTCAAAGTGACGCGGAAGATGAAGATCTTAATGTGCACGAAGAATCCAACAATAACTGTTCGTCTTTAGACAGCAG